TCTCCCAGACCCTCACGATTTTCATCAATCACAGCGTGGTCTTCTTGGACCTTCAACCATGCTCTGGAGCAGTGAGGCCCGCTTCCCTCACCCCTGCCTCGACCTGAGCCTTTTAAGCAAATCAGCAATGTAATTATTGATCTGTAAGAGAAAAGGAATTAATACGGCCGCCCACATCCTTTGTACATAAGAGTATTTAACAATGAACTCTGCTTAAACTTCATAAAAGCCTCTTCAGCAAATCAGCACACAAGTATTGATCTGGAAGCCCGCCTGTGAATCCCAGCTGTCTGCCTCTCCCACTGAAGGACCATTAGTTTGTCTTGCCGGACTCTCCTTTTTACGTTTATGGCCTGGCACTTTCTCCTGGGACGGTTTCCTCTGTTTCTCAGCAAGGGCTTGGCTCCCCGATTTTGCTGACCCTCCCTTTTCCTGGAGTCCAAGGTATCGACTCCAGAGCACGCCAGGCGGGTACTCTCAGGCTCACATTCTGCAGGCTCATGTTGGGCCCAGAACCCCAAGGACCAGCCTGCCTGGGGGACCCCTTTGTAACACAGCTGGAGTTCTTAATGTTCACCCACGTGTTCACCTCCCAACGAGGCCAGGCATTCCCATCTCCACTTTGCAGAGGAGAAAACCAAGACCCAAGGTGTACTGACCCTCCTAGAGTCACACAGACAGTAAGGGCCAGGCACCAAATTCAAACCAATGGCCTGAGCAACTTCCTTCCTGGAAGTGTAAGCCAGGGACTGGCATTGCCCACAGTAGAGCAAACTGGGACAACTGTCCAGGTTACCATGGGCTCTAAGGCCAGATGCATCCCTGAAGGGGACTCTTTCAGGCACCAGATGAGGCCAAGGAGTGCAGCAAGGCTCAGCCATAGCACCCACTAGACTTGCCTCCCACAGGATGACTTTGACCCTTGACACCTTCCTGTCCACTCTTGACCCAGGCTATCAGCTCACCCATGTGCCTGTGAAATGGGGGCCCTGTCCTGTATAACGGGAGTGGCAGGGGCTAGTGGTGGGAGGGTCATTCCTACCTTGCAAAGCAGTGCTCTTGGTTCGTGCCGGCTGCATGGGGCCCTCGGCTGCCCAGTCCCTGGAGCAGGGCAGCCTGGGTCCCGTGGCCTCACATCTACCTTCCCAACTATGGCTTTGGACCCTGGGTGTAGAATCAGGGTCTGTGGGTCTGGTCTGGCTCAGGCCTAATCTCAGGGGTCCCAGAACCCCTTCTCCTCTGGCTACAATAACTGCCTCTGTGAAATGGGCTTTGGCCTTGGTCTCTAGGAGCCCGCTAGCTCCAGCACCCTGCACAGCAGCAGAGCAGGGGTGGGAGAGCCCCCAAACCACAGACCCCAACTCCCTTAGAAATGCTGGGCGCATATAGGTGCCCAACCCTGACATGCCAGGAACTGGCTGTGGCCGTGCCCACCTCAGCCCATCCTCTGCGAGCTACCAGCCTGCTCCTTGTCTCTCTCAGTTTGGCCTGGGCCTCAGTGCTTCTCTCCCCTCTGGTCCCTCACACTCTTCTCTCTGTCTTTCTTCAGTCTTTGCCTTGTCTTCTTCCCATTTCCCTGTTTCTGTTTCCTTCTCTGCCAGTCCCTGTTTTCCTTTCTCTCAGTCTCTGCTTCCTTTCTGACATTCGGTTCGTCTGTCTAACCTGTCCCCACAACAACGCATGTGCAGAATTCCCTGGACCTAGATTGGTGATGGTCATGGCCAAGTCTTGGGAAGGCTCTGGGATGCCACGTACCTGGAACGGGGGTGGGCCAGCCTGTGTGGGCGCCTGTGCTTCAGGGGCTCAGAGAAGGCATCTCCTGAGAGCCCGTCGAGGCTGGACCTCACTCCTCCTGGGGGGTTGTGGGGCTAGCTGGGGGCCCATAGCATGCTTCACTGTACCTGGCGGGGTCCTCACTGGACACAGCTTCCCTCATGTATGCTAGAATGGTGCCTCTCCTGCCCTGCAGGCCTCACTGGTCCCATTGCCTTTCACGGTACTTTTGTAGGCCTACATAGTCAGGGGGTTGGGGATGGCTCTGCTCAAGAAGATTCTGGGGAAACCAGAGGACCCAGTGAGTGCCATGTTTCACAACATCCCTCCCCACCCCCTTCCACTCCTGACTCTTACTGGCAGGGAGAGGCTCGGAGGGTTGACCAGGATCCTGCCTCTGGATGGGCCGTCCAGGAGCTGAGGGGCACTGCCTCCTCGCCGCCAGCCCAGGCCTGGCTGGGTAAGGTGCTGTCCTCAAGCTCAGACAGCTTTGTAGAGTGCAGGTCCCCAAAGGCATATGCCTTGGTGAGAGAACATTTAAGGACTGTTGGTGCACTGGGAAGGAGGGGCTCCACTGGACCATGGGCTGGGCACTCAGGCTTTAGTAACCTGCACCCATAAGGGCAAACCAGGCTGAGCCAAGGAGGGGCAGGCTGAATGCCAGGCTCTGTTCAGGGTCTGCAGCTATGGAGAGGGGGTGTTATGCCTTGGAGTGCCCTGCCAGCTCAGGGTCTGTGTCCTCAAGCTTCATCAGGATCTTCCTTAATTGCAGGCTGCATCAGGAGGGTGTTCAGGCCTCAGCACAAAGGAGTAGAGTGGGGTCAGGTCCTCAGATTTTTTAAGAAGTTGAGGTGGGGCAGCTGAAGGGTCCTGCTGGTGGGGGCAGTCCTGAGGTTAATGCTCCCAAATCGGTGACCCCCAGAGATGCGGCGCAGCAAGCATTTTAAGGAGCCTCAGTACAGCTTGTTCACTTTTGGCTCCTAAAGGTTGTAACTGTTGCAAGGGCAGGGACAGTTCCCAGAGGGATTCTAGAAAATGAAAGACCCCACTCTCCCGGAGCTGACCACACCCATACTGGGTCAGGACATACCGGGGCCCACCGAGCTCCCTCTGGGGCACCCCCCTCAAGAGGGCCCTGGAGCTATGCCATTCCTCTACAGAGATCCCCACCCGGGTAGAGCCTTCCCCTCCCCGCCAACCACAGCCCAGCTCTCCTGCCCCCTTGCCTGCCCCCCCCCCCCACAAGGTATAGGAGACTTAGAGACCCAGTCAACACCAGCTGTGGGCTGTCAGAAGGGTAACCCGCCCTCCCCCCTCCCCCTCTGCTTCCTGCTGCCCTGAGATCAAAGGGTGTCTCCTGGGTGGCAGTTCCTGTCATCAGCCTTAATGGAAGCTCTCCCTATTAGTAGAGGGGCTGGAAGGAGAGGCAGCCAGGCGGGAGGTGGGAACATCAGATCTGGGCTCCAGAGTTGGGGGGAGAGTACAGGAAGGTCCATTTCCACCCCAGGTCTAGCACAGGATTTGGTAGGGCTTGTGCTGTAGTCCTGTAAGTGGGCCTGCCCCTCCCTGGGCCCCTCCAGGATGCTTTAGAGCCCTCCTATGTGGAGGTGACATGGGGTGACAGAGTAGGGGGTTGACACCTGGGCCCCAAATATGTCCTGCTTCTCCTTTGCATAACCCTCAATTGGGTGGCCATGCCCCACAGTGTCCCTCATGAGTGTTCGAGAATGGGTATAACTGAGAGCCCAGGCCTGGGCCTGCATCCTCTCTGACCTGTGGCCTGTGGCCCTTAACCACTCTCCCTTATGTGATGGGTACAACTCCAGGCCTGTGAAGCTAGAGAGCCACTGTACCTGCCCAAGTCCCTTGAAGCCCTGCAAGATACACAAGCACATGGGATGACGAGTCTCCCAGGGTGTGGAGCCCAGACCAGGTAGCAGAGAGATGGCTGGCTCGTGACTCAGGGGTCCCCAGCCTGGCCTGGCCCAGCTGGCTATGTGGCTTGAGCAGGCCACCCTCCCTGGGAGTCAGTCTCCTTGCCAGGACGTGAGGGTCTTGGCATGACCCCATCCTCTGGACACTGTGGTGGCCCGGTGGGGCCCGGAGCCCTTGCCCTTGGTTCCCTCCCCCTGGGCCAGAAGGTTCATGTCTGTCATCTCCTTTGCTGACAGATCCCCCAAGCCAGATCCCCTTCATAATTCAGTTTAATGCAATATGGCAACGCTTTTATTGACACTGCTCCTATCAGGAGACTGGTGAGAGTGATGCCTACCTATACCTTCCTCACGTTGCTGGGCTGGCATTCCATTTTCACAGACCCCTGGGGCACCCCCAATGATAGGATGTTGACAGAAGCCTGGGTGGTTATCCCAGTGGGCCTCCTTTCATTTCCTGAGAATGGGGTTGGGGGAGGGCAGCCGCCAGTCTCTGGGTTCCCAGAGTCCAGAAAGCCCGAGCCCTGCACTGGCCTGGCTAGCAGCTCCGGTGCAGGGGCAGGTGTGGGAGCTGTGCCCTGGCACCGAGGGCCAGGCTGGGCCGAGAGGCGGGGCGCCAGAAGGCCTGTGCATGGTGGTGAGGCTGCTACTCTTCAGAACTTTGCTGTGGGGTAGAGACCATGGGCTCCAGTCAGCCCCTTGTGCAGGACCCCACATCTCTGCCACACAGGGCAGGTACTGGAGCCTCAGACCTCCTTCCTGCATCCCCCTCACACCATTGCCTCTTCTGGGCCACAAGGTGAAGGGGGGCCAATATCACTTCCTCTGAAATACCAGCTCAGAAATACCAGCTGGAGAGCTTAACTCCCAAACTGAACACCCCTGGGCGGACCAAAGATTTTTAACAACCCCATGTCACCTCCGGGCAGGGTTAGGCCCAGAGGGGCTCCCCGTGGGTGGGTAGATGCATGCACGTCCATGAGAAAAAGGAACCCCGTTCAATGGCCCCATGGCCTCCCGTGTTAGCCAGCCCAGACCTGGCTTGTAGGGAAACATCTGCTAGTGGAGGGTTGGGTGTCCCCATGGGGTCCATACTGCAGCACCGCAGACCTCTCCCTGGCCTACATGGGATGTGTACCTAGAGATGTCCATGCCCATCCAGCCTGGGGGTGGGTCCAGAGAGATGTACAGACAGCAGGCCTGAGGGGCTTGAGCTGGCCAGGGACCCCTCCAGAACTGCCCATGTCTTCCCACCAGGAAGTAAGCACCCCGCCTTGTCTCTCTTGAAACAGGTCTAGGAACAAGGAACTGTGGGAAATGTTGATCGGAAGCATGATAGAGCCTGCATTGCTCTGCAGGCCACCTGGAGAGTTCTGGACAGAATAAACCCTACAGGCCAATGTACCTGTGACAGCTACCCTCCCACACCAGGTAAGATCAGCCCGGTGTGCCACCCACTCATGAGGACAGTCTGTCACACGTGCCATCTGAGCTCTCTCAAGGTGGAGGTGAGGTTCAATGGCTAAAAGAATGACTGATGGAGGCAGCCACGTGGAGGCTGGAGGGGTGGTAGAGAGGGGTGGGTGCAGTCCTGGGCAAGAGCAGGTCAGGGGAGGCAGGTCAGAAGAGGTCATGGCGGGCTGTGACCACCACTCCCAGAGAATGGAGCTCGGAGCCAGTCCCACATTCATCTGGCTCTGCGCTGCCAGCTGGGAGTGGCTGTGCTCGGCTTCACCGATAGTGTGGCTCAGGTGGCCTCAGACAAGGCCACGCCCATGAGCTGTGGCCCGGGATGGAGGGAAGATGTTCCTCCCCGCACAAAGCGTTCAGGGAAGCAGCTCGGCCTCGGCCCAGCTGGGCCCATCTGAGGTGCAATCGACCTGCCCAGCTGAGCTAATGGGACCCTCTGGGCATCGGGTTCAGGGGCGGGGTTGCCTGTAAGCAAGAATCGCGGGTGCTTCATCAGCAGGCTGCCTCATGCAATATGTAACAGCACATTAACCTGCACTCCAGGATGGAGCCAGCACGGCAGAATCTGCTGGTACTTGGAGGAAGAGGCACAAGAATGGGCCTGGATGGTTCCATAGCATGCGAGGCTGGGGACGAGAGGTCTGGACCCAGTGGCGGAACCTGCATGCCCTGTCCTTTCGGCACCCCCTTTGCTTCCGTCTGTGGAGCTTCCGCTCACACCAGCGTTACTCCCACCTTCCCCGTGGAGCGCGTTGGTAATCACTTGCAGATCCCCCTCCCACTGTGGCTCCAGGAAGCCACACCAAGCTACCTGAGTGGACGACAAGGTCGAAGCTATTCTGACACTTCGAGCTCTGACACCCCGTAATTCTAGGGGGTCCCTGATAGTCACTGCACCTACCTCTGCTACCTGCACATTCACGATGTCTGCACTAACACCTTCCCAGCTCCTGGGGAAACCAGAACCAGGAAAGTCTATATTTAAGACACAGAGCAGGCAATATGATCCTATTTTATATGCCAGGAGACTGAGGCCCAGAGAGAGCCTGACGTTGTGCCAATCTGCCCAGATACCCGTGGTGGGAATCCAGACTTGGAGGCGGCTTCCCGACCTGCTTTCAGATTTCCCATATAGGTTCCCAGCCTCCCTTTCCTCAGGCCTGTAAGTGGTACCTCCACTGCTCATACCCTTAGTGATGGAGATGTCTCTGCCAAAAGCTGTTGCTCTTCAGGCCTGGGCACCCCCTGCCTTCTGCCTCATGGGCCATCTTATGCCAGAGTCTGAGACATGGAAAGACACATCACTCTGGAGTCCACCAGACTAGGAGTCAGGGGAATGGATAAGTGTTCCAGCTCTGCTGTTTGCCAACTAGGGGAAGTTAGGGAGCCATTTTGCCCCTTGGAGCCTCAGTTACATTGTCTGTAAATGGCACTGATAGTGTGGTGTTGCACCTGCTGTGTGAATTCACTGAAGTGTATGTTTTAGATGTCCAGGGTCCTGGCAATGGGTAGAGTCAATACCTAGAGAACTCACATCCCCTCCTCTTCAAAGCTACTTTGTGAACCAGGAGGAGGACTCAAGTATTCAAAGGAAGACCCTTCACCATCAGCTCAGGAGGTGGCAGGAGGTAGATCCAAGTTCAGATCCCAATTCTGCCCCTGGGTGCTGCATTGCAGTCATCAGTTGGGTTTCCTGCTGTAGACCTGTACTTCCTGGTCTGTATAAAGGGCACAGCAGGCTCCATTTCAGCAATGCTATGTCTTGGAAATCCTCTACACACACACACTCACACACACACACACACACACACACACAGACATGCCTTAGAAAAACTGGGAAAAATATAACAAGCAACATTTAAATACATGGCTGAGCTTTTGAGAAAGTGAGGGACATTTCCAGGGACATATATGAAGAGAGAGAGCCCCATTCCCTTCCTGATATTGCACTGACCAAGAGGGAGGCAGGGGGGTGGCTTGGGGAAGGACTGAGGCTTGAATATACTCACAAAAAGACTGCACTGTGTGATGTTAGCATCCAGCTACATGAACCTTTCTTGAAGGGCTGTCATGAAATAAAACAACAACCATCCAGTTAAAACATCACAAAACTATAAAACTATATCACCCAATAGCTGCATACTTTATTATCATCAAAGAAACAAATGTTCCTCAGTTTGGCAAATTTTGTAAATTGGTCATCTGACAAGTTCTGTCTTCATCAAATTGATTTTTTGAGAAATTGACTTTTGGCAAATTGGTTTTCAGTAAATTGGCACTTTGGTGAACATGTCAGCCTGCTTCTAGTTTTAAAGGTCCTCAGAAGAGAGGGGTCAAGGGCTTGGGCCCATGAGAGGCAGAGAGTAGGAATTGAGACCTAGAGAGTAGGCAAATTCCAGGAAGTGATGACTCCAATGCTAAATTCCACCAAATATTTAGAGAGGAATTAACATTAGTTCTTCTCAGACTCTTCAAAAACACAGAAGAGGAGATATGCATGCTAACTCTTTCTGTGAGGCTAGCATTACCCTAATACCAAAGCCAGATAAAGACATCATGAGAAAAGAAATTACAGGCCAATATTCTCTATGAATATAGATATAAAACTCCTCAATAAGGGGCACCTGGGTGGCTCAGTCGGTTAAGCATCTGACTTTGGCTCAGGTTCCTCACTCATGCTCTGTCTCTCTGTTTCTCAAAAATAAATAAACATTAAAAAAATCCTCAATAAAACATCAGTCAACCAATTTGAGCAGCATATTAAAAGGATTATATCCCATGACAAGTGAGATTTATGCCAGGAATGCAAAGATAGCTCAATATAATAAATCAATCAACATAATAAAGCATATTAGTAGAATGAAGGGGGAAATACCCAACATGGTCATCTCAATTAACACAGAAAAGGCATTTGACAAAATTCATTAGTCTTTATCAATAGAAACACTCAGAAAACTAGGGATAGAAAGGAGCTTCTTCAACATGATAAAGGGCATTTATGAAAAACCCACAGGTAATATAGCCAATGGTGAAAGACTGGAAGCTTTCCTCCTAAAATTAGGAATCAGACAAGGATGCCCACTTTTACCAATGCCATTCAGCACTGTAGTGGAGGTTCTAGCCAGAGTTATTAGGCAAGAAAAAGAAACAAGGACATCCAAATTGGAAGGGAAGAAGTAAAATTATCTCTATTTACAGATGGCATATCTTATGTGTAGAAAATCCTAAGGGATCCAAAAGAAAAGTACTAAAACTGACACATGAGTTCAGCAAGGTTGCAGGATACAAGATCAATAGACAGAAATCAGTTATATTTGTATATTCTTGCAATGAACAATTGGAAAATGAGATTAAGAAAACATTCCATTTATAATAGCATCAAAAAGGATAAATTATTTAAGAATAAATTTAACAAAGGATATACAAGACTTGTTCCCTGAAAACTCTAAAACATTGTTGAAAAAATTAAAGACCTAAATAAGTGAAAAAATACTTCATGTTCTTGGGCAGGAAGACTTAATATTGTTAAGATGTCAATACTACCCAAACACTACCCAGATGGAACACAACCCTATTAAAATTCCAAAAGCCTTGTTTGCAGAAATGGACAAGCAGATACCCAAACTCAGATGGAATTTCAAGAGGCCCTGAATAGCCAAAGCAATGTTGAAAAAGAAAACAATGTCAAAGACTCACACTTATAGCAAAACTCATTGCAAAGTTATAACAATCAAAACAGTATGGAGCTAGTATCAGGATAGACATACAAACAAATGGAATAAAATTAAGAGTACAGTCTATGGTCAACTGATTTTTAGCAGAGGTGCTAAGCCCATTCAATGGGGAAAGAATAGTCTCTTTGACAAATGTGCTGGGACAACTGGATATATATGTGCAAAAGAATGAAACTGGACCCTTACCTCACACTATATGCAAAAAATTAACTCAAAATGAATCAACAACCTAAATATAAGAGCTTAAACCATGAGACTAGAGGAAAGTATATAGGTAAATCTTCATTACCTTAGGTATGGCAATGGATTCTTAGTTATGACATCAAAAGCCTGAGCACCACCACCAATAACAAAAACAGATAGCTCTGACTTTATCAAATTTAAATGTTTTGTGCATCAAAGGACATTAGCAGGAAAGTGAAAAGACAGCCTACAGAATGGGAGAAAATATTTGCAAATCATATATCTGATAAGAGTTTAATGTCCAGAATATACAAAGAACGTCTAAAACTCAACAACAAAAAGACAAAACAACCAATGTAAAAATGAGCAAAGGACTTGAACAGATAGTTCTCTGAAGAAGATATACAGATGCCAATAAGCACATGAAAAGATGCCCAGCACCAGTAATCATTAGGGAAATGAAAGAAAAACTTCAGTTAGTTACCACCTCACACCTCCTAGGATAGCTATAATTAAAAGCAAATAAACAAAAAATGGAAAGTAACTGTTGGCAAGGGTATGGAGAAATTGGAATCCGCTTACATTGCCTGTGGGAATGTAAAATGGTACAACGTCTGGAGAAGAATTACCATATGACCCAGCAATTCCATTCCTAGATATATACTCAAAAGAATAGAAAACGGACTCAAATACTTATATGTCAAGGTTCATAGCAGCATTATTTGCAAGAATCAAAAGTGGAAACAACCCACATGTTTATGAACAGATGAATGGATAAATAAAATGTGGTGAGTACACACAATGGAATAGTATTCAGCCTTACAAAGGAATGAAGTTCTGGTACATGCTATTACATGGATTAACCTTGAAAATATTATGCTAAGTGAAATAAGCCAGACATACAAGGGCCAATATGGTATGATTCCATTATATGAGATATCTAAAATAGGCAAATTTATGGAGAGAAAGAAGATTAGAGTTTATTGAAAGTTGGAGGTGGGGCATGGAGAGTTATTGCTTAGTTGCCATAGAGTTTCTGGTTGG